GGGGGGGGGGGTGGAGCAGGAATATCATAATCCCTGGGCCCCCGTGCCAGAGGCAGTGGACAGAAATCTGCTTTTAACGGCCGGTTGAAGCTCTAACTGCTAACGGCAAGCTACTGCTGGTAGAGGGAAGGGCCTCTGAATCATCCTTGATAGTTAGACTGCTGAGAGAACATCAGAGGAGATTCAAGGCTTTCAGCTTAAATGATGGGTCAGCAAGTGGTTTTAGCAGTTCAGGAAGCTAAAGCGACCATTCCAATCAATGGAGCACTATCCTAAGGGTACCTGACAAAATCTATTGAACGTCAAGCAATAATAATGATAAAATAATAATAATAAAACTATGACATTAGCATTTTACCTCAAGAGCACCTCAGTGATTGCAGTGGTGTGGTTGTGCAATGGAAATAAAATTACATTTTACAAAAAAAGATCACTATATATTCAAGGTCACGATCTGATCAAAGTGCACTACTGAATATTAAAGCTGACACTGTGACTCATTAAGCTGGGCTATTAAAAACATACAAGAAGAAAATGAAACACTGCACATACAGTGACTGAGAAAACTGGGCGGGGAAGAGCAGTGGAAGTAAATGTATGTATTGTGAATTTCAGAATTACATTTCCCAGAAGCGCAGTGGCCAGACATGTTCTTGCATCATGTGCTTCTGTGGGAAAGACAAAAAAAAAGCTGGGATGCAGACCTCTCCTGCTTCAAGGCGTACTCCAGCATCTTGATCCTCCTCACCAGGTCCTTCTTCAGGTTCTCCTGGCCCTTCCGTTCCCCTTGCAGGAAGGCAATCTGTGCCTGTGGACACAAATATCGCCTCAGCGTTAGAACAGCTTTTGTATACCCAAGGATATCACAGCAATCTACAAAGACATTACACATCAAGCCCAAATAATTCCTGTCCCAAATGTGAGCCCTTGAACCTCACCTGGCTCAGGTGTCAGACCTCTCCTACAGAGGCAATACATGGTGTTTGGCCAGGGGTTAGCACTGCATTACATAAACCAGGAATCCTTTGAAAAACAAATTATCTGGGACATGCTTCTATAGGCTTATTCAGAGCAGGGGAGGCAGGATGAATGACAAACTGGATTGGCAAGTAATATGACTATGTAGCAAGAACAAACAGCTTGCTTCAGCGAGACGGGCAGAGTCGTGCTCTGACTCCCACGTACAGTGACTCAGCATCATAAAGCATCCATTGCATCCAGCTTCAGTGCCAATCTGAATCCTAAAGAGCTCATTTAGCTGCTCACAGCTGTGTGAGGTCATGTGCAGGAGCGGGCCTTCCCGTACCTGGTTACAGGAAAACAGAACAAAATCCTAACAGCCTTTCCTCATTCTCCTTGTAAACATGGCAGCAAGCTACCAAAGCCAATGGTTACCACGTCCGCAGTCACTGCCACCCGACTGCATGCCCAGAGGATTAATGCCCAACCCAGTTAATGACAGGGTGAGATGTAGCTGACAAACTCCCTGAGAGAGTGCCAGAGCATGACCTTCCCTCAGAGATGGAACAAAAACAGCCACAGGGCACCTGTTTAGATGCACAGATCTCCCCCTGAGAACATCTCCTGCCTTCTTCCCCAACCCGCCTTTCTTCTACGTCACAGCCAGACACTTCGTAAACAACCCTTGATTTTCACATTCAGCGTTTTCTTGGAAAACGACAGTGACATACTAACAGACCATAACATCTTCAAAATAAAAATCTAATTGTAATAGTAGAGATGAAGATGATGAAGAGGGGGAGAAAAAAAATCCACAAATAGCTGTGCAAACACGAAGATCAGATAAATATATCAAGAACCATCCAGTTTTCACTACATGCCTTGAAGAAGTAAAAAATTATACACATTGGAGAACTTGTCCCATTACACACTTCAGTACTTCTCCTTAAATTGGCATTTTCACCCTTTGCCCCCCAGTACAGCTAAAAGCAACACTGGCATTACACAACGAGAGCCTCAGACGGCATAGGAAATGCTGAACGCAATACTCTGACTGTAACAACCACTTCAGTGCTCTGCAGTCATTGACGACGACTCTAAAAATACACACACAGCAGACGACTGGGGAACCCAAAATACTATAGAAGTGTGTCGCACTCATTGGACCTCTGATGAAGACTCAGAAGTGTCCCTGGGATACGTGTGACCTGCTGCTGTATCCCTCCCCACCTACGAACAAGAACACACACATTGCCTGATAACCAGCAGCGCGCATTCCATGCATTCCTACAGGGCATAGTAACTGTGCCAAACCCTCAAACAGCCTTTAAACAAACTACCTTCGAAAATTCCTGCCTACTACCCCCCTCTCCCTTTCCCCAACACAGACCACACTTTGCAGTCTGTGCCACATCCACACAGGGTCTGATTCATTATTAATAGCAAGCAGGATGTAGAATATTTACATTTATTTAGCAGTAGCTTTTGGAAAAAAACATACAAATGAGGCATCGAATACATTACAATCATATAGCAGTCAGGGGCCAACTAGACTAAAGTTCACTTATGCTATGAATTCCCAGGTACAAATGTAAGTGGTATCAGAACAATAGCTGTATAACACCTTTCAAACATTAAAAGGACCCAAGAACATTCAACTCAAAAGATAATGTGCGAGACTAAGACTGCCTACGAGTTGAATGCCTTGGCTTCTCGCTGATCAGGGAGTCCATCAGAACATATCGGACTCCCTAGATAAGGTGTGGGCTTGTATGATCTGCCAGTCAATACTGTTACTTCCGCAGAAGTTCCCAGATAGCTGTGTATTCACCGATCACCTCATTGAAACTTGCTGGACACTTTTAATTAAAAAAACTGTTCTGAATCACAACTGTACCTACACTGCACTGTCTGCACTTTAGATTTAATTTACACCCAATTTGCAAAATGTTTGTAAAATGTTATTGAGTAAATAAGTACATGTAGGGACTCAGACAGACGATATTTCATCCCTGATGTAAGCATTATTGTCAGCCCCTCAATATACAAAGATCTCTCATATCATACTGTTGACGGCAATTTCCCACCAGCCTGCTTCAGGCCTTGTGAACAGAATGTCCCACTAAGACTGTTCACAGACGGTCAATCAAAGGCAACCTACACACATCACACATACGCCGAGAATCACAATAAACGCAGCAGCCATTCAAGTGGAGTGTTTGAGAAAGATTAGACTACCGTAGTCCCTACTCACCAGTGGCCCAGTGAGAGCTGACTAACAGAGCAATACCAGAAAGATAATCTCCAAGATCCAGCCTAATTGCCAATTAAACTGAACAACATTTCTCCACCGGTGATTGAATTGCATGGCCCCTGATTTACTACCCTGAGTGCTCCTAACCTGAAGAACTGAATGACTGCCCAACAGCACAATACATCACTTACTAATCACTGAGCACACATACAGGCCTTAGAGGAAAACCCCGCACCAAAATTTCACAGAAAATCCCTATGCTGTCTCATTCCTGATTATGAGATCCGTTGTAATGCCAAATTCATAAACACATTGCTGAAATATATCACACAGTTGCAGCATGATCCTGGAGAATCATCTCGCTTACTGGGTTATTCGTGTAGCCAGGAACTCTAGGAATAAAGACCACAAGCCAGCATGATTGTTGACTCTTGCTATGGCAGCCATAGCGTATGTCATCACTCGAAGTGCACACATTTGCTTTTCCCACAAAGGAAAGTCCAAATCCACAGCAGTGTTGGCGCAGGCGTTCCTTAAGGAGGGCTGGTCATTATCCCCAGACGCACTTGAAGACTAGTTTGTTCTCATCTTAGGAACGGTGCTGACACATTGGCAGCCTTGGTCAAGCCCCCAACCCGTCCCCAAGGGGAACAGACAATGAACAACACCATGCAAACGCTACACGGACAACACAGCTCTGATCGCGCATGAGGCTCAGGGAGGGGTGAAACTGCTCAATGAAACTCATTTTCCTCTGGATCGGCATCTAACCAGCAGAAGAAACCAGAGCCTGCTTTTGTGCCCGCTGGATTCCGACGTAAACCCATAACCTGGAAGTAATCAATGAAGAACATATTTCACACATTTAAGAAAGTCAGTGATGTTGCAGCCCTATCCAGCTCCAGCATGCTCCTCAATAAGTGATGAGATGCTTACTTTCAGCTAACTGCTAATATCAAATTGTATTGCATTTCCATCAGTTTGTAAACTGCATTCACAGCTCTACTGGCAAGATCCCTCAGTCTGTCAGCATGCTGGAACAGGTTAAGCCTACTAGGGGAACGCTTCTCCAGTTAAGACCAGTAACAAGGACATTACAACCAGCATGAATTACTGCAGTGATTTTATTTAAGAGGGTATAATAAAGCTTTGGGTATGTTTTCAGTAGAACAAAACCAACTTGTCAGCTGAAAAGCTATATATGGGCTGACAAGGAGCTGATATGTGCAGGCAACTGAAGGACAAGTTGAGAGAAAGGGGGGAGGGGAGGAAAAGATGAAAAACTTGACCAGCTGGCAGCAGCAGACGTACAGTAGCCAAGAGGTTTTGTTCTTGGGTCCTGAATGAACCGCATTCCACAGCCTGCTAATGTTCTCCAGGGCTAACAGACCGTGGAGGCCTGCTCACTATCTGGCTGCTCTAACTTTGATGTCAACCATCTCAACTTTCCTTCTTTCAGTGTTCCTGCACCTCTGGCCTTGTCACACAACCAGGCCCGGCCAAACAGGCCTGTGCGGGCAGGCTCACCACTCCGAATGTTTTTGAAACCGACAGAGAGACCTGGTATATAGCTGCATTGGTATTAGCTAGAGGGCCACAAACGCAGATTGTGTACCTGGACACCCTCCAGGAGACTGGCTGGGGGATTATTTGGCACAAGGCAAAATTGGTTAACAATACATGCTTTTCAGACAAACTGATTTCCATTAAGCATTCTCTGTTGCCAATATTGGGGGGTGTCATTGTGTTTATATACCTTAGAACAACCAAAGTCTGCTTAATTTCTACACTTATAAACGGGTAAAATAGCAAGGCAGTTTGTCACCATCGCCAAAGATAAATGCTGCTGCAAGGCATGTTGAATAGCCGATTTGCGCAGTCAGACCTTCTGTCAAAATTAGACTTTACAGCCCCTAATCATTCAACATCTCTGCAGCTGGCTTGTGCCACATCATCTATGGATAAAAATCCCAATGCTATTCAGCTTGGGAAAGCCCTAAAAACTGCCTAATTAGGCTACTTTTAATTGAACCAATGCTGATAATTCTAGCTGCCATTCATTTTTTTAAATCAAACTAATTTTGAACAGAAGTTGCCGCAGTACAAGGATTTTTTCCCCCCTCATTTGACTTACTGTAGCTTTAGAATGTCAATACCTTACTGTCTATGCGCAGGTTCATTATTTCTAGGAGGAAAAGCTGCTTGGCAGGGCCTCATTTGCCCTAGATCTTGCTCAGTACAATATTTGGAAAGCAACATATAAGCTCTGGGTATGGGGGTTCTGAAGTGCTTGGTAAGTGACCAGTGGGAGGCCATATATTCACATTGAGCAATTCAAGCTCATTCCTCACTGCCTTCAAGAATATATCACCGCTCGAGGAAGACAAAAATAAACACTGTGCACATCCTCCAAATAAACACATTAAATCACCGAGCCAATTACACTAATCATGCCTGGATGGAATAAAGGGACACTTAACCCCATTTTTGGGAGGAGTTAAAGAGCAAAAGCATTGATAAGGTGATTATTAATAGGCCCCAAACACAGCTGCCACTAAATATAGTCAAGTGCACTATGGGATATCATGTCAGAA